AAACGCTGAGTCCGGCATGCTGCTGTTTAGCCATGTCTCTGTGAGACATAGTATCACACATTCATTCATCTCCTCTGAGGCACTCACTCTCAGTTGAAGCAGATCCATCTTGTTAGTCAAGTCAAGTCAAGTCAAGTCAGATTTATTTATAGAGCACATTTAAAACAGAAACTGTTACCAAAGTGCTTAACAAAAATATCACATCATCAGATAAAAAGTAGCAAGATATATTTACAGCACATGGAATAAAAATATAAAACAGAAAACATAATTAGAAACAATGAAATACTAAATCAGATCGCGTTGTGTCAAAAGTCAAGGAAATAATAACAAAAAGCATAAACTCAGTCAGAAACAATGAAATACTAAATCAGATCAGATGACCTTGTGTTAAATAGGAATAATAACAAAAGCATAAACAAAATCAGCATCAATGAAAAACTAGATCTAAATCTGATCACCCTGTGTTAAATGTCAATGAGTACAGATGTGTCAGTGAGTACAGATGTGTTTTTAGGAGAGATTTAAAAGCAGAGACTGAGGTGGCCTGTTGAATGTTGATGGGCAGATTGTTCCAAAGTTTAGGGCCCACGACTGAGTCCTTGTTATCCAAGGACTGGACGTTGGACAGAAAGAGAGACAGTATCGGGAGTCTGCCAGACCTAGCATTAGCTTTCTGCCCTACCAGCACGCCAGCCCGGCATCATCTCTTCTTCCCCTGGGCACAGCACCTCCTCTTTCCGTTTAAGTGCTGCTGTCTCCCTGCTGATGTCCGTAAAAGTTGCAGTCTGCCGAGAGTAGCCTTAAGATTGTTGTTGACTGCTGCTGTGTTCAGTGTTAAATTTTCTCTCATCCTCTGAGGAGGATGAGATATTGTCTCTGATGGTCTCTTCATCAGAGACAATCTGGTCTAAAGATTTAAAAAACTGTTCAGGCAAAAATAGGGGGATACATTGAAATAAAGATAAATCTGGTTAGTATATTCATTAAAATAACTTTAATATTTTTAACTGCCTCGGTGACTTCAGCACCAGAGATTAGAGAGCCCGACCCAAAGTCTTCAGGCTCTGTTTCCTCAGTGGAAGATGTGCCAGAGAGATTTAGGAGGTCATCGAAGTACTCTGCCCATGGACCCACAACATCCTGAGTTGAGGTCAGCAGCAAACCACTTCCACTATAAACAGTGTTGGTGGTGTAACGCTTTCTCCCCTGAGACACCGGATGGTGGACCAGAATCGCCTAGAAGCCATATGAAAGTCATTCTCCATGGCCTCTCCGAACTCCTCCCATGCCCGAGTTTTTTGTGATTTGTGATCTGAGAAATTGGTTTCTCAGATCACACCATTGGTTGGTTCTCTAACTATCTTTCAGACCGGAGGCAATGTGTTCAACATAATGGTACTTCCTCCAGTTATTTAACAGTCAACAATGGTGTACCACAAGGCTCAGTCTTAGGACCCACCCTCTTTACAATCTACATACATAATGTTAGTAAAAACATCCCTAATGCATCCATACATTTCTATGCTGATGACACAGTTGTTTATTGTCGAGCTAAAACAGTTGCTAAGGCTTTCCAGCTTTTGAAATCTGCATTCAACATCATCCAGACTGATTTGTTCCGCCTCAAACTTGTCCTAAATGCCGACAAAACCAAAGAGATGCTTTTTTCAAACAGGAAGTTGGTCCCAGCAGTTCTTCCTCCGATTTTATCCTCAAATGGTGTCCCCATTGAGTTTGTTGATTCCTATAAATATTTGGGTATCTTGGTCGACTCACGTCTCTCTTTTAAGCTCCATGTGGAAAACTTGGTAAAGAAACTGAAAGTTAAACTGGGTTTCTTTTTCAGAAACAAATCCTGTCTAACCCTGAATGTTAGGAAACACCTTGCATCTGTAACTTTCCTTCCCTCCATTGATCACGGTGATATTATTTACATGAACGCTCCTACAAGAACCCTGCAGATGTTGGATGCTGTCTATCATGGTGCACTAAGATTCATAACTGGCTGTGATTATCGTACCCACCACTGCACCCAGTATTCACTGGTTAACTGGACATCATTAACTTCACGCAGACTCTCTCACTGGTACATTTTCTTCTTTAAATCACTTCTTGGTCTGCTGCCTTCATACATCTCCTCCTACATGTCTCTGTGTGAGTGCAGCTACAGCGTGCGCTCTCAGGACATCATTACCTGCAGTGTTCCCTCAATGAGGACTGAACTAGGCAAAAGGGCCTTCTCCTACTCCGCTCCTGTTTCCTGGAATATCTTGTAAAAAGATTTGAAGCTCTCGACCTTTGACCTCTCTAAGTGGCTTTAAGAATCTGTTGGACTCCTGGCAGGGACCAATGCAGACATGTTCCTGTTTTTAGTTTTCTACATTCGCCTTAGAATCTAGCTGTTTTTTTTTTGTTTTGTTTTGTTACCTTTTCCTTTTAGCCATCCTATTTGTAAAAAAAACAAACAAACAAACCTGCAGTATGACTTTTATAACTGTTTATTGTTGTTGCTGTTGTCCATTGTTGTCATCTTTCTTTGTTGAAATCAGGTCTCTCTTGTAAATGAGTCCTCGAGGCTCAATGGGATTTACCTGTCTAAATAAAGTTTGATTGATTTTGCCTCAGTGACCACCCGAGCCACATGCTGCTTGGACTGCCGATACCCATTAGCTGCTTCCAGGGTCCCACAGTCCAAAAAAGCCTGATAGGACTCTTTCTTCAGCCTGACAGCATCCCTCACTGCCGGTGTCCACCACCAGGTTTGAGGGTTACCACCGCTATAGGCATCAACAACCTTACGGCCACAACTCCGATAAGCCGCCTCGACAATAGAGGCACGGAACATGGCCCACTCAGACTCCATGTCCCCCACCTCCCCCGGAACGTGTTTGAAGCTCTCCCAGAGGTGGGAGTTAAAGCTCCGTTTCACGGGAGACTCTGCCAGATGTTCCCAGCAGACCCTCACAATACAAATGGGCCTGTCAGGTCTGGCCAGCATCCTCTCCCACCATTGAAGCCAACTCACCACCAGATAGTGATCAGTGGACAGGTCTGCCCCTCTCTTCACCCGAGTTTCCAAGACATGTGGCCGCAGATCAGATGAGACAACAACAAAGTCGATCATCAAACTGCAGCCTAGGGTGTCCTGGTGTCAAGAGCACATATAGACACCCTTATGCTTGAACATGGTGTTCGTTATGGACAATCCATGATGAGCACAGAAGTCCAATAACAGAACACCACTCGGGTTCAGATCAGGTGGGCCGTTCCTCCCAACCACACCCCTCCAGGTCTCACTGTCATTATCCACGTGAGCGTTGAAGTCCCCCAGTAGAACAAGAGAATCCTCAGGAGGCGCACTCTCCAGTACCCCCTCCAAGGACTCCAAAAAGGGTGGGTAATCTGAACTGCCATTTGGTGCATAAGCACAAACAATAGTCAGAACCTGTCCCCTCACACGTAGGCGGAGGGAGGTCACCCTCTCGTTCACCGGGGTGAACCCCAACGTACAAGCACCAAGATGGGGGGCAACAAGTATGCCCACTCCTGCCACTCTGCCACCAGGCGCTCGCCAGCGTGCCCCACGTCCAGGCCCGGTTCCAGAGTGGGGCCCCGGTGACCCACGTCTAGGTGAGGGAACATTGGTTCCATTAATTTTAATCTTTATAGGGGTCTTTGGGCTGCACTTTGTCTGGTCCCTCACCTAGGACCTGTCTGCCTTGGGTGACCCTACTAGGGGTATGAAGCCCCTGACAGCATAGCTCTTAGGATCATTGGGACACTCAAAACCTTCCACCACGGTAAGGTGGCAGCCCAGGGAGGAGCATTTAGAGAGCGTCAACTTCACTAATTGTGGCAGCCTGGGCTGCAATACCCGGCAACGAAATAGAGGACCCACAGGTGGAGGGTTCATCACGAGAAACTAGCCGCAGGTGAGGCTGGATTGAACTGGTTCATGCATTTGTCACGTCTAGACTGGACTATTGCAATGGTTTATTATCTGGGTGTCCAAATACTTCTTTAAAACATCTTCAGTTAATCCAAAATGCTGCTACCAGAGTCTTAACTGGAGTTAGTGGGAGAGATCATATCTCTCCAGTTTTAGCTTCTCTCCATTGGCTCCTTGTCAAAGCCAGAATATAATTCAAAATCCTACTTCTAACCTACAAAGCTCTCAACAACCATCGGCTTGGGCTTGGGTTTCCTGAGCTGTCCCTTAGTTATGCTGCTATAGGCTTAGACTGCTGGAGGACAAACTGACCACACTTTTTCACTCTGCTACTGTCTTTACTTACTCTGCTCAACCTGTTTTGTATTTGTAATTATTTTTTCTATCTTAACATGTGGTTGTTTTTTTTTTTTTTTTTTTGTCTTTCAGGTACACCTGCACCTATTTCTGGACCTACCATTCTGTGTTCGTTTGTCTCTCCTTTCTGTCCTCTCAAACCAGCCGGTCAAAGCAGATGGCCGCTTGTCCTGAGCCTGGTTCTGCTGGAGGTTTCTTCCTTTAAAAAGGGAGTTTTTTCCTTTCCACTGTTACTATTGTGCTTGCTCAGGATGGGAGACTGTGACAAAGCCAAGATTCAACTTGTCTGCTGCTTCCTTAGATAGAGAACTTTATTAATTGGCTTTTATGTATGTGAATGTTCCTGTAAAGTGCCCTGAGACAACTTTGTTGTGATTTGGCGCTATACTGTATAAATAAACTGAACTGAATTGAATTGAACTTCCCCCTTTAGTCAACTTTGGTGGCATTTTAGTGACCAGAAAAAAGTATGCAGTGTAAAAATGACTTGGATATCACTTGAGGTCGAAAAAGAAGAAAAATTGCCCAATAATATTCATAAAAGAGCCAACTCTGCAGGAGCAGCTCACATTACACCGCCATTAGTCCCCCAAAAAGCAATCGAACTTCACAGTTCTAACAGGGTTTTGGATCAGAAACAGAGTGGCGTCTGTATGAACCTTGGTTGTTCTGATGATGTATCTTTTTTCAGGTCTCTTGTCAGATGAGCAGAAGCATCTTATGCTGCAGAAGTTTCAAGTTCTCTGTATCACTGGACTTCCAACTGAAGGAAACCAGATAGACGACAGCGAGTCTGCGCTGATTCGCTCAAACTGTTGCTACAACCTGCCGGTACCAATACACACACAGAACCTTAAGGGTCCTGGTCCCTCAGATTTCACTGGTTCTTTAGATGATGAGCTAATGGAAAAAAGGGTTTGTAGGCTCGATAATCCAGGTAGATAGCAAAGAAAAGGTTAAATCATGTCATCTGGACCTGTTGGAATCTCAGGAGCAGGCTTTTAGCTTTCTGAATCATTTTGGCCTTTGTGTCCTCAGGCTGTTTCTGTGAGTAGCAAGTTGGTTATCTGGCCTAAAACATTTGATTGTTATACATGATGATTGATTGTTTTGGACAGATGTGTCCTTTGCATGTGTTAAAAGCTTCTGAGATTCCAACAGGAGGTTGGCTTGAAACACAGCAATGAAGGCTACTTATGGGACAGATCTGGTTTGCAGGCCACAGACTGATGAAGTCTTCAGGATGGAAGACAAAACGTTTCTCCCTGAAACTGGTCCAGATTAAATGATTTAACATTTTTTATGATGAGTTAATGTCCTGTTCTGTTTTTCCAGGCCATGCTTGTGTTTGTGGATCCTGCCCACTTCCTGTTGGACCTCTACCCATCTTTCTCCAGTCTCTGTAGAGACCCAGAGGTCAGCGTTCGGCAAAATGCAGCAGCCACTTTCCACCAGGTGAGAAGCACCAGTCCTTGTAGCTCATCCTCATTGATTTCTCAGGTCACATGACCAGTCCTCCTTCTCTGCCAGGTAGTGAAGCTGCTTGGTTCTGAGTTCCACCTGGTCCACAACGAGCTTCTGTCACTGATGCAGGATGACTCCCTGGAGGTGAGAAACCACTCCTGGAGCTTTCTGTGATGTCACAGAAAATGATTTTACTGACCTGCTTGCTGGTTTGTTGGGTCCAGTTGGTTATGTATGATTTGACAGTTCCTGCCCGCCTTGTCAGATTTGTTTGCATGGCCCAGGTTCACTGGTGCTCATTTCAGCTTGTAGGCTATCTATCATTACCTTGATACAATGTAGCATCTCAATTAACATCTGGCTCTGGGGTCTCTGGGGACTCTGGGGGCTCAGAGACTCTGGAGTCTCTGGGAACTCTGGAGCCACTGGGGACTCTGGGGACTCAGGCATCTCAGGGGACTCTGAGGACTCTAGGGGCTCAGGGACTCTGGAGTCTCTGGGGGCTCTGGGGCTGTAGAGGCTGTGGAGACTGAAGGTTTGGGGGGCTCTGAAGACTGGGAGCAGAGCCCTCCTTGGTCAAACCTAGAAGATTTGTTTTTCATCCAGATATGACTCAGAAGAAGTAAAGGTTCTGATAACTCTTCCAACATGTTGGAACGATATTGACAATCGTCAACAAGACACCTGACCCCTGCCTGGTCCGCGGGCATTTCCACAGCTGCCTGTTGCTCCTCCTGGTGTCTCAGGTGTGATGGGTTAAAATGATGACATCACACAGCACCTTTTCACTTTTAGAACACAAATATTTACACAGGGACAGAGAATATAGTAAAAGTTGTTTGAAGAAACATTCACACAGAGCATTATGACATACAGGGGGAAAAGGAAAAGATCTTACTGGTCTCAAAAATCTTACAAAAGTGGTACTTAGTCTGAGCCAGAACTTGGCCTGTCTTGGTCCAGAACTACCCTTAAAAATCAGATGTATGCTGGTAGGACATGGTATTCTGATTGGATATCCGATGATCTGCACTGAGTGGACTTACAGCGGCGATTGTTGTCATTGTACTTCAGGTTTTGGACACTCTAACGAACCAGTTAGATGAAACCCTGCAAGTGGTTCTGTCCAGAGGAGACAGTCTGAGACTGGACAACAAAGTGAGTAACCATTTAGTCCAAACAGTCTTTGTTCTCATCAAAGGTAATGCTCAATAATTAAGGTAAAAAAAATCTAGCAAAGTAAAGTCAGGTCCTCTGGACATATTTTTAATGAAACGTGTCGTCTTTCATCCAAAAGGCTTCATCAGTCTGAGCAAACACAACAGACTCAGTCTTATAAATAACATCCTGATGCATGCTCATAATTAATAAATAACACCAATAACTTATAAATAACACCTTCACATAGTGGGCCAACCAGTTTGATAGTGCTAAAGACGAAACGTTTCAACAAAGAGAATACGTCCAGAGGATAGTTTTTGAATCCCTGCTTTTTGTTCAAACATCCTCATAACATATCCTGTTTCTTCAACATGGATAATCTTTTGACTGTTCCATCCCTGTCTTCTGATGGTTCCGCCTCTGTCTTCCGATTGTTCTGCCTCTGTCCTATGGTGGTTTACACTCTTGTCTTCTTATGGTTCCCCTTCTGTTCTCTGGTGGTTCTGA